CCGTGTCCCCAGCTCTCAGGGTTGGCGCTGCGGGTGGGGATCCTCTACCACGGGGGCCAGCTGGTCACCACAGGGCGCATCAGCACCGGCGACCTCGTCACCTTCGTCCTCTATGAGATGCAGTTCACCGAGGCCGTGGAGGTGAGGGGACGCACGGGTCCCTGGGCCTGTGTCCCACTGTGCTGCCCCTCCAGGTCCTCCTGTCCCTGTCCCTCCATGGTGACCCCCCCCCCCATGTGCCTATGTTCTGCTCTCCATGTCTTGCCTGTCATGTCCCTGTGTCCTCCGGCTGTGTCCTCCTCTCCGTTGCCCCTCCACGTCCCTTTGTTGTCCCCATTATATCCCCATATTCTACCCCCCATGGCCCCATGTCCTCCTTGCTATGTGTTCCTGTGTCCCAGCGTCCCCTGCTCTGTCCCCATGTCCTCTCCCCCAGATCCTCCCCACTGTATCCTCTCCATGTCCCTGTGCCCTCCCTGCTGTCCTTCCATGTCCCCATGTCCTCCCCGTGTCCCTGTGTCCCCCTGCTGTGTCCTCCCTGCCGTGTCCCCCACCGTGTCCCCATGTTTGCCCTCATCATGTTCTGCCCGCTGTGTCCCCCTGCCATCCCCGGGCGCTGACCCCCTCTGGCCCCCAGGTCCTGCTCTCCTACTACCCCAGCGTGAAGAAGGCCGTGGGCTCCTCCGAGAAGATCTTCGAGTACCTGGAGCGGGAGCCGTGCATGGCCCCATCGGGGACACTGGCACCTGCCTCCCTGCAAGGCCACCTGCAGCTCCAGGACGTCTGGTTCTCCTACCCTGGCTGCGTCGAGCCCGTGCTCAAGGTAGGCGGGTGACAGGGACGCCTTGGGTGACAGGACACTATGCCACCCCAGGTGACCCTGCACCACACCAGGTGCTGCTGTGCTGCTCTGGGTGACACTATACTGCCCGGGGTGACACTGTGACACCCCGAGTGATTCTGCGCCACTGCGAGTGACACCACGATGCCCTGGGTGATGCTGCCCCAGGTCATGCTGTGCCGCCCCGGGTGACACCATGACACCCTGGGTGACATCATGATGCCCTGGGTGATGCAGTGATGTCCCAGGTGACACGGTGCTGTGATGCCACACCACCTTGGCTGACACTATGATGCCCTGGGGGTGATGCTACCTTGGGTGACACTGCAATGCCCTGGGGATGCTGCCCAGAGTGACACCACGACGCCCTGGGTGACACCACGATGCCCAGGATGACACCACAATACCTTGGGTGACACCACGATGCCCTGGGTGATACCACCCTAGGTGACATGGCGATGCCCTGAATGATGCCACCCTGGGTGACACTGATGCCCTGGGTGACACCACGACACCCTGGGTGACACCACGATACCCTGGCTGATGCCATCCTGGGTGATGCCCCCTGGGTGACACCGCGACACCCCGGGCGATAACCGCGATGCTGCGGGTGACACCCCAATGACCCCACCCAGCTGCCGCCAGCCCCAGGTGACCCAACGCCACCCCCGCAGGGCGTCTCGCTGGAGCTGCGTCCCGGCGAGGTGCTGGCACTCGTGGGCCCTTCGGGCAGCGGCAAGAGCACCCTGGTGTCGCTGTTGCAGCGGCTGCGCGAG